GCAATTTTTATGCAAATTAGTTGGTAATAGAAATGTCCTAACTAACAACGTTAACCGTAGAAACTACATGGAACTATAACTTCATGAAAAGATGGGAGAAATTATGAGACAAATGAAAGTTATAACATTTTGCTATCAGCATTCATTACCGCTTGTAATTTTACTAATTAACTCGAGGATCTTAGTGTGACCATAGTAGTCATAAAACTGTTGGAGTCAGCCTCCCCACCAAGGACATCTACACCTCCAGATGCAGGAAGAGGACTACCTGCATCATGAAGGACTCCACTCACCCAGCACACACACTTTTTGCCCTGCTCCACTCAGGAAGGAGGTGTAGAACCACTAGACTGAGGAACAGCTTCTATGTTTTTATGCTATTAGTGCTTAGCGTATTTTTAGTTAATGTTTTTCTTAGTTCATATCTTAGATGTTATTACTGTTTTTCTTTTACATTTTATTGTTGGATGTAACTGGGACCCTGTGTACATAATTTCATTCCACCACATGTACCACATGTGGTGTGAATTTCTGACTCTGACTCTTTGTAGCAAAGTAAACACGGGAATTTATGTTCATAGCTACAATGATACAAAATACACTAAGACCTGATATGAAATCTGGATTCTGAAGTACACTGTGGGATTTCAGTCTTTCCTTCTTACAGCAGCAATTCAGTTATTTCATGAATTGGGAACTTTTGGAAAAGTGTGCCATTAGAGCATCCTACAGCAACACAACAAGCCAGTTAACTGCTTGCTTTATCTCAGAAGAGGCCATCTTCAGCTAAAAAAACATGTGAAGTTTAATATCCAAAGATGGCAGCATCCATCATGCCATTTACTAACCTTACTGACATGACATGGCTGCAAAACTTCCTTAGTACGAATGAGTCGAGTAAGTAACTCCTTGCAAGAAAGCAAATTTGAACATTACTTATGAGTGTGAAAATCACAGATTATGCATAGTTTAATGGCAGCGATTCAGGTTTTAAACTTGGGTTGCAGTGGTTCAAATTTCAATATGATTCATATTGTTTGAGCAGTCGGTCCAAAAAAGTAAAAAGAAAACACCAGAACAGGCATAAAACCACCTGCGTTTTTGATTGTACACTTAAACTGGGAGAGGAGAAACGAGAAGACTGACCCAGTTTGGTTCATAAATTGCACTCTGCCCTAAAACAAAACATCCTCTCATTTGATATATATGTAGCATTATTATGAAACTTATAGTATATCAATCATTTTCACTATGAAAACAGGAAACAGTGACGTGAAAAGGTCAGAAAGTAGAAACCACTCACTCTAAACGCACAGCTGTTTTCAGCGCTCGCACACAGCAGAATCAATTTCACCCTCTTGACGAACAAAGACCTCGGAAAGGAATGTAGGAGATACATATGCCACAGAAAATGAAGACGTCAGATTTTTTTTTTTTTTTTATCACTCATAAATATACTTGAGCTATTCAGCTGAGCTCTAAAGAGTTAGTGCTTGAGTTTTATGGCTTTTAGTTTAATCTTATTAATTTATTTTGTTTACACATACACTTATTGGATAATAAACGGAGTAAAAGTGAGACGGCTGTGAAGTGTTTTAGGTCAGTCAAATAAAAAATTATTATTTTTTTTACTGTAAATAAAGAGATAAAGAAAATAAATGGAGTGATGGAGGGATTCCAAGTCTTGTTATTCCTTTTTTTGGGCAAACTGAATTAAGTTTAGCATAACTACGAATTATAAAAACAATGATGCTGAAGCAAGGTTTACTGAATAATTAATGTCTGACTGTTGTAGACAGACATTTAAAACAACCTCAGTTTGGAAAAAAGACAGTTTAAGTAACCGACAAGCTAACAATGAATTAATTAGTTAATGGCTAATCTGAGCAAGTTGACACCCAAAGTGGATTGAAGCCATTCTAATTTTAAAACTTTTACAGCAGTTTGTGTATACATTATTTTAAAAACCTTGACACTTTTGCCAATTTTGCATTATATTTACACATTTATTTATGTTGAGGTCAGTGGTTATTTGTGAATGCAAATAGCAGAAGCAGCTAGCTGTAGCAGTCTGGGGTGCTCACAGCAAGATTATAACAATACATATTGCAAAAAAAAAAAATTGAACTCCAAAATCAACTGGGATGTAAATATTTACAAAACTGTGTTTACATTTACTGCAATGATTTGTTTAATTTTGGAGGTTTTTTTTTAAAAGATGGCAGTGAACAACTTATGTCTTGGGCTAACTGTTAGCTCATAAATCCAATGAGAATTAAACTTTCTCCAAACTGAGATCGTTCAAATCAGTAATCTACAACAAGATATTTATTGTTCAAGGCTTAGTCATAAAGCCCCACATCAAAAGATCTCTTCAATAAAAAGTTGTTTTTTTTTTTTTAGGAAATGTATTTACTAATTCATAGTTATTATTAATCCATTCAATCGTTCATCATTAAACAGGGGTGGAGGCCTCCGTGTCCAACTGCCCCCGTCTTACAATGTTGTTACTGCTAGTACCACTCAGCCCCCTGCAAATAGCAAGTGGACATCAGGGCACAAACGATCGATTGTTAGGCTGATGGTCCTCCTTCTGCATGTGAACAGCTAGTTCTGGCTGTCAGCAGCAAACTGCTTGATCCACTATGAGAAGGTTTTCTTTATAAGACTGAGTTTGTTGCAGCCCCTCAGACTGAAGAAGAATTTTGGATAAAAGACAAAACGCTTCAATAAGAAGAATTCGTCCAGAGGACCTGACTCAACCTTGTCAGATTTAACTATCATATCTGCTTTTACACTATGTTCTTCTAAATGACTTGGAGAACCCCCAATTCCAAACCTAAAATAAATTGATTTTTCTCTAAATAAATTAATAATAAAACAAATGCAAATGCAAATAATGAAAATAATTGAACAGTAAGACTTTGAGATGACTGAACAAAATTAATGGTTACAAAAATAAAAAATTTAAAATTAATAAAAAGAAAGATTTAGCACATGAAATCCGGATAGCAAGCATGCGGCTAAATTGTTTTTTTCCTACACGAACTCACGCACAGCACTGGACAACACACTTGCTTAAGAATTTCAGGCGTGGAAAGGTTCTTATTTAGCAACAGTACTCTAATATTTGTATGACATTCTCTCCAATGACCCTCGGGGAAAATAAATGCACACTTTGCTCTATTTAGAAAATATACAGTGCATCTTTTTTCCATTTGTTGTGGTATTAAAATGGCAAAATGACACCCATTTACATACACAAGATATTTTTGCTTCGTCTCTAAAACATGCTCTTATGTACAGTATTTTTGTAGAAACATGCAGTATCAACGTGTAGGAACTATGCATATAGGCAAAACTACACACGATGAGTTGCTTGATTGCTTCCATGTCGCCTTTTCTTTAGTGTTGTTTCATCAACCGAAGGGAAAAAAGTCGATGCAAAGTGACAAACAGAAGCTTGGTCTTGATTGATTTGTTTTAAATATAGCAATAAAGGAAATACAAGAGACAACATTCAATAAATTTCTCCTAAAAGCTATGTAAATACGGAAAAAGAGTTTACTGCATTTGCTTTACATTGAACACAATTGTTTTTGCTGTTGATGCTTTAAGTCAAATCTTTGTGAGTAACAGCTAAAACATGTAAGGAAGCATACCGGGGTTCACTCACACTGTGTATCAGACTGAGCAGGATGGAATGAGATGATTGAGAGAATGAGCTCAGGACAAAATATTAATTTGCAATTATAGAGAGCCAAAGAAACCATTGACACCTTATGACACTTTATGTTCATTGTAAATAGAAAGTCATACCTTATGGAAATATTCTGATGCTATTATTTGTTTACGGGCCTCAGACAAGATCAGTGGGTAACAAGTTCAATTCATGATTCCATAAAGATTAATTATGCTCAGATGTAGGAAGAATAAATTACAATTATGTACAACCTTCGTTATTATTCATAAGGAGTTGTAATTTCATCTTTGCTCATAAAACAACTGGTTTTTTTTATTTTTGTTTTATTTTATTGAAACTAAAGAGGCTCCGTTTCGTCCAGCAGCTTTAATTTGATTTTGATTTTATTGAGTTGGTTGAACACCAACTTGGGCTGACGTGTCTTTGGCTCTCTATACTGAACCTGATGCAGGAAGCAGCACTGAACCCAAATGTATTCATTTTCATATTCATAAGAATGATCTGCGTTTGCCGCAGAAATGTTCAGTTTCACCAAGTTTTATCAAAAAGCATAAAGAAACAAAAACAAACAGATCAAAGAACAATGTCTATTACCACAAAACAGAACATTACCCAGTAGTGCAATTATAATAACCAGTTTGGTAAGCTGTGTATAATACACATGGATCAGTGCCTTGCTCCACATCATATACTTGCAATCAAGTGAGAAATGGAATATCCAAACAATTCAAACACACACCATAATAGGCAGGAGCAAAAATAATAATAATTAAAAAGAACCTCCTAAAGAATTAAAGCTCGGACTTCTTACACAAAACATTGGAAGATAAAGTGCTTAAGAATGAAAGTGTTTGAAGATTAACTAAACTAAAAACAGAAGGAGAAAATAGATGAAAAGAACAACACCTTTAACTGGAAGGCGTCCCTGGTAGTTGAAAATTGCTTATTTTGTTATTTGGAAGGCTTGTCTCCTTTATGACTGTAAGACAGTTATAGGGATTCCTTTGAAGTAAAACCCTTGTATCAGGTCCGTGACGAATGGCAGTAGCACTGAACAAGTGAAATACAGAATCAGAGGCGTGGGGAGGGGAGGCCGTGGGGGGAGGGGGGGGGGGTCTTGACTGTAGGCAGTAATCAACACTTTGTAAAGATCACGTCAGTGGTGGTTGGGATCAGTCTCTGTTGCACCCGTTCTGATATTTCCACACGTTTTTTTGTTCTTGATGACAAATGCTGCATTTTCTTTTTTCACAATTGAAAATACATATTGTGTCCCCCCCCCCCCCCCCCCCCCCGACTCATTATTTCTTACATTTTGAATGCAACACTTCTTTCTCGTCAAGTATTTGAATAATAACGACCCGTTTAGAAAAAAAAAGGCATGGAGTTTCTGTTTCCTCTCAGTTTTCCTGAGACGATGGGCAGAAGGTTAACTAATCAAAAAAAGGCAGTGTTTGTGGGTAACTGGATATGTGCCTACCCCTACGTTTGCTACCCATTTCTAGGAATGTACTTCAAACTAAGAAAATCATCTAGGATGATAACTGGCAGGCATGGGGCATGGTGCACGATACACCCACGGAATGGACCTGCTTGTGTTGTTTCTCTATCTTATGGCAGTATAAAGCATTTTATTATCAAGCACTATTCTAAGCAAACTGTGTCACTAAAGGGAGAGAAGTACAACATGAGTGAATGTATGTTTCATCTCATAATATTCCCATATAGCACTCGTATTATAGCAATCTACTCTTTGTTGTTAATAATGGAACCACTACCCCAGTACAAAAATAGATCTAAAAGAACTGAACCGTCTGTCCATCCTGTGACTCATCTTCTTTTCTCAGTGATGGTAATAGAACATGATATATTTTAACTACATTTCCCATCAGGTCGAATAGTTTCTATGGATCTTTTGAAAGGTGGCGTTGGCAGATGGTGAAAGGAGCAGATGGAGTGCTCTTCTGGATTATACGTTGATACGGGGGACTTGGGGAAAAGGTGGGAAATGGTAGGTGGGTGTGTGGAGAGAGTGGAAGTATTACTTCTTGGCAGTCAGGGCTGCGAGGGCGGCATCCACCTCCTCCTCTGGTTGCAGCGGATGCCACTGGGCAATGGGGCGACGGGGGTTGGCCAGCATGTCAGACCAGTGTTTCAGCCCGGCCCCCGTAGACTTGCTTCCCACCCAGATCTTCCCAATGGCGTCGTTCTTGCCAATCTTGTCGTAATCCAGCACTGTGATCACAGCTTGGATTTTCTGTGAGAACAGGGAGAAAGCATTACAACATGGTTCAATATGCTGAGAAGATTAGAGGCTGGCCTGGGCTGGAGTGACGCTCATGAAATTCAAACCCAAGTCATGGGCTGGGTTTGGACCAGCCCCAAAGACTGTGCCCAGTTTTTTTGGGTCAGGTCTCATTTGGCAGTTCCTCTATGAGTATTCTTTTCTTTACATGCTTTGGGTTTAATGACTGAGACTTGCTGATTTTTATGTAGAACACAAAATGATTAAATCAAGGTTATTGTCATTCACATCACATGTGGTACATAAGGTGGAACAAAACTCTGTATTCAAGGTCCCAGTTATACCCAAAAATAGCAAAAATATAAACTGTAGAAAAGAAACCGTACACAAGGATCTAAGATATACACTAAAAAATAATAATATAAAATAATGAGGTAACAGCAGCCTGAGCATGAGTCTGTTGTGGGCAGATGGGTATAAATATAGCAGCTTTTGTGTAAGAAATCAGCAGCATGGATAATCAGCAGCACAGATAAAATGTCAAGTGTAAATGTCTGTTGTGTTACTCATCTGTCTTCTTTCTCAAACATGGTCACAATGGGAATGTATGAATAGGAATAGGAATAAGTTGGACATTTTAGACTCCTTTCTTTTATGGATGATTGGTAGATGAGGGGGCAGAACGGTGGCACAACTGGTAGAGCTGCTGCCTCTCAGCAAGCAGGTCTCTGGTTTAAATCCCGGTCCAGGGGCCTTTCTTTGTAGAGTTTGCATGTTCTCTCCGTGCATGCGTGGGTTTTCTCTGGGTACTCCGGTTTCCTCCCACAGACCAAAAACATGCATGTTAGACTGATTGGTAACTCTAAATTGTCCCTAGGTGTGAGTGAGAGAGTGAATGGTTGTTTGTGTTGTTTGTCTCTATGTGGCCCTGTGATGGACTTGCGACCCGTCCAGGGTGTACCCCGCCCCTGGCACAGTGACTGCTGGACATGGGCACCGGCGACCCCCGTGACCCAAAATGGAATAAACGGGTAAAGATAATGGATGGATGGATGGATGTTGGATGTAACTGGGACCCTGTGTACATAATTTCATTCCACCGTGAACAACAATAAAGCATATCTGAATCTGAATTTTATAACTAGCTTTTTTTAATTTGTGTAAAAACAGCAGGTAAACAAAGAAAAGAAAAAAACACACAAGTGCACAGAAAAAAACATTTAAACATGCAGCAAGACGGGGAGGCAAACCTACGAACTTCCTTCTGTGAGGCGACAGAGATAACCTCTATCTACTGAGCTACATCATGAAAATCAAAATTATATTTAGCTGGCCAGCTGCTGGCAGCATCTTTTTTTAATCAGGAAGATAAGGCTGCTGTTAATCTTGTAATCTGATGAGTGTCAAAAAAATAAACATATTCAGCAAAACTATTAAAACTACAATTATTCAGCTAAATCATAAGGGCAAAAACATGGAAGAGGTTTGAAAACTGTCTCTGTACTAACGGTTATACCTAACAGGGAGGAATTTGTTGAAGTAATAGGAAAATACAAGCCTTGTACCACCATAAGTGTTAAAAGTTTTAGTAGAGCTTGATAAATGATTATTAAATGGAAAAACAGAACCTGGAGTAAACTTTTTTACAAATGTTGCCATTTTGGGAACTGAGATTGCTACTCCATCATGGGGTGGAGGGGGTTAATGTTTCCATGAGCTTATTTTTTTTTAATTGTTTTATTGTTTTTTTGTTTTTATGATAAGCCAATCAGAATACTTAAACCAGCAGCAGAAAAAAGACAGATACTATTAAACAGATCTGTGGCAGCAAAACTCTCTATGGTTTTTAACCTTTATTTTCTTTTCCCCTGAAACATGATCGGCCTTGTTTTTAATGGTAAACAACTACACAAAAAGATTAATATAGCAAAACCTGAAAACAAACCAAATACAATGCTACTATTTATATATTGTTTGGTGTTCATCATCATCTAGATAAATTACGACAGTGAGTCTATGACTGATGATCTATATAGATATCCGTTTTATTTCCAGTCTGTTCCAGTAACTCTAGTGACAATACATTTTAAGTTTTATTTTATAGAAACACCATCTCACCTGCATTTGCTCAAGAGGAATCTCAAAGCTGAAAGACTCATTGTAGTATGGATTCAAAGTGTTCTTCTTCACTGTTGTCTTCTTCTTCTTCAGCCTCTTTCCATTCTGCAGCAGGTTAATCTTCACGTAGGGATCTGAAAACAGAAATGGCAAAATTATGAGCAGTGTGTAAAAATCTGGGTTGCAGAGCTGTAAGGCACCAACAGATGGGGCCACTGTTAAAGCTAGAAGGTGTGTTGGCCGCTTCATGGTGAGCACCGCAGTGTCAGCACGTGAGCAGAGCAGAATCAAACTGATGGATAGCCTCACATATACACACAATCAATAGTCTCTGCAAACAGGACTATTTTTGCCAGGTCTCAGCACCAAGATAGCGTTAGAACAATAAAATGATGCTCATAAATGAGCTCACCTGATAGTCCACCCACGTCCATTTTCTTCAGGTTCTTCGCCTCCAGAATACAGATGGTGAGTTTGCCAGCAGTGGGGACGTAACGTAGGGAGATACAAATGTCACCCAGCTTCTCCGGCTGAGATCGGGTGGGAAGAAGGAAGAAAGTTAGGAGAAGACTTTCCTGTGCAATAATTATCAATAACTTCTGCCAGCAGTTTTGTCCATAGGACTCATTTACAACTTCATCTAGTTGTTTTTAATTGATTGGTGAAATGATTTGAGGCTGAATCAATTGTAGAGAGAAGCTGTCTTCTCAAGGTTACTCTTGGGAGGCAGTTTCATTGATTAAACTTTTTCAGTGCAGCATAACAATGAAAATACCACATAAAAAGTTGAAAAGCTGCTGAATAAGTGGCATTGCGTAGCAATTGTATCACTCATTTGGAATATCAACCTGTTTTTGAAAGAAACAGATTGGTTAGAGCAGCCGTGCTCCATTCAAGAGTTGGAGTTTCAATTCCACTAGCAGTCACATGTTGAAGTGTCCCTGGGCAAGACACTGAACCCCTCATTGCATCCTATGTGTCCCATTGGTGTATGAATGTGATAAAACACTGATAGTCTTTGTACAGATCTAGTAGAGTGCTGTATGAATGGATAAATGAGGGAACAGATTATGTTGTAAAGAGCTGTGAGTATCTCGATAAGATAGAAAGGTGCTATGTAAGTGCAGTCCATTTACCATTTCCATTTATTTAAAGAAGTGAAACTCCTTTATAAGCTATCTTTTCATCAAACTGAGGAAAGCGTGGAAGAAAACATACATTTGATATACTGAGTGTATGTCTGTACATGTGCATGCAAATTATGCGATGCTGAAAAAGCAGCAAGTTTCGGAGAAACTCTGTTTGGCGGCTTAGCGGAAGAAAATGTTGCACCTCTTCTTGATCTGCGCTGTCAAGGTCTCTCCACTCTTCAATTGGCTTTGCCAAGTCCAGGGTGTTCATGGGTGTCTTGATCTCTCCGATGATGTCATGTTTTGAGAAGCGATCAAAGTCGAAGACAGACATTACCAGAGTCTTCCCTCCCATCTCTTGGAATGGTATCTGTAAGGCAGCAGGAAGTTCCATCTTGGTCATTTGTAAGGAGCAGACATCAGAGCTGCTGCTGCTGTCCTCCTACACTCATGATATTAATATTTAACAGTTACACCAATGGTTCTCACTGTAAAGTAAATGAAATATAGTTGCACACATGTCACGTTTTTATCAGTTTCTGGAAAAAATATGTGAAAAACCTGCTCCATCGGAGCGATATTAGACTTTTGGTTGCTGTTTATGTGTTTGGCTTCCTAACTTGCAGATTCAGCACAAACACTTGACATTGACAGTAAAGCTGTTGATGTGATTTGATTTTTTTTTTTTAACAGAGCTGTGTCAGCAAACAAGATGAACCAGAGGTGGCTCTCTGTTTTTATATGATTATTTATCACACTCTCCTTCGTCTGACACCATCAGTATGTCTGCTTCTTTTTATTAATGTTGAACGGGAGTCAAGAATGTACGTAGTAGTATTTTTAAGTAACTGGTAGCTCAACAAAACACAGAAGAAATGGGCATTAAATGGATTCTCGATTCTATTCATAAACGAATAGAACATATCAAATAAGCCTTTTCATCAGAAATGAATGAAAGGTGACCACAAATCAGTTGCAGCTTACCTTAAAAGTAAAAGTCTCATTGAAGACAGGATTGAGTGTTTTCTTGTGAACCTTTGTGTCAAACTTTTTCTTCTTGTCAGGCAGGACGTAGACCCGGACATAAGGATCTGAAGTGCCTCCGCTGTCCATGGAGAGGAGATCAGCAGCTTGCAAAATTCCCACTGTTAGCTGCAAAGTTTGAACGACAGAATTTTTGAGGCTTCACCTAAAATACATTATTTTGTAGATAGTGCACACACTAGTACCAGGTCAATGCTCAAATGCAGTATTTGCTTGCCTTGTTCTCTTGGAAGTCATAATCAATGGAGTATTGCAGCTTTCCAAGCTTTTCTTTCTCCTTCACTTCTTCCTCTTTTTCATCTCCGGTTAGCCCTGGCTCCACATCGTCCTCCTCATCGTCCTCATCCTGTGGTTTCTGCAATGACAGAAGTTGGACAGGCACCAAAGAAAGTAATGAGAGGATGGCCTTGAGGTGGCAGCTGAGCTGAGCAGCAAATCTCAGGTATCAGCAGTTAGGTTAGTCTCATCACCTACCTTCCACTTACCCCCAGTCTTACAAGTGTAATCTGTTCATCGAAGGCCAAGGATGCAACCTGACTTGATTTCACAATTTCTTGGGTGACACCATTTGCTATTTTCTGTTTCTTATGAGTATTGCATGAATGTTAAATCTAATTCAAAATCAGAGGAAGAAAATTTTATCCCAAATAGAAAATACTTGTAAATATGTCAATGGGATGTAGCTCTCTGTGAAGGACTGTATAACACTCAATAGGAGGGAGTTAAGAGAAAAGAAAAATACCTTACACTACAACTAGGCGCAATAAAATATTTATGAAATTATCTCTCATTTTTAAAATCAGTAACTGTGAAGCGCCAATTTACCATCATTTTCTAATTTTAGGAGTTGGCAAAACTGCTATTGTAGGAAATCAATACAATAAAGTATCTGATTAAAAAAATGTTCTGAGGCAGCAGCTACAGAGTGACACACACAACTCATCCCAAATGACCCACTGAGTGTGTCAGAGTCTTAAATTTTGTGATGGTGTAATGAGAGTCTGATAAAAGTCATATCAGAAGAGTTGAACTGGTGCCATTGTCTGAGCAGGTTGTACAATACGTTTTAGTATGGACTACATCTGTGCAGCTGTGGTCACACAGATCCACCAGGTGAGATAAAGAAGCATTTCCTGCTTCTTTGATTCAACAAGCCACATGGCAAGGCTAGACCCTTATTGAACGTTTTTGTGTGTTTTGTGTTTTTTATGGTGTACTGAGCTACATGGCTGTAAGGACGTAACATCACTTTGTCTCTCTGAGAAGGTGCTATTTAAGAGACTGAGCTGAAAATAGCACCTCAGACTGAGGAAGTCTCTTGGATGAGAGACGAAACGTTTCTATATTTTTTTGCTTTTTTTTTTTTTTTTTTTTTTTGAATGTCCAGAGGACCAGATTGAACTTTTTTGGATCACTTTGTCTCTTTACAAAGCTGACACTCTGTCATGTACAATGTGAGCTGCCTCAACATCAGGTCACCAGATTATTATTGATCCTCTACAAAAATCTTCTAGAGTGAATGTAGCAACTTTAAAACAATACTTATTCTTCCCTTATAGACCATACAACTGAAAGTTACATAGCAACAAGTCAATAATTGTTACACAACTCCTTGTCTGCACTGGGGCGACTGTGGCTGAGTGGTTAGAGCAGTTGTCCTCCAATTCAAGAGTTGGGGGTTCAGTTCCACCAGCAGTCACGTGCTGAAGTGTCCCTGGGCAAGACACTGAACCCCTCATTGCCATCGGTGTATGAATGTGATAAAGCTCTGATTATTCTTTGTATAGATCTAGTAGAGTGCTGTATGAATGGGTAAATGAGGGAACAGATTGTAGTGTAAAGAGCTTTGAGTGTCTTGATAGGATAGAAAGGTGCTATGTAAGTCCAGTACAGACCATTCACTGCCACAGTATTGTGGCACCTTTAAGTGAAATAGGTGCTGCCATTGATTGAATTTTTATTTGTCTCATTAGAGCTGTGTATTAGTGGCTAATTCTTTTGTATACTTGGCATTTGTGCCCCATAAATATATCATTTATGTGGTTGTTTTTTTGTGTACATATTGGATTGTTGAAGGAAAGGTGATATTAGAAAAGTTATGCAGGATTTTTACAGTTTTGGTTCTCTCTCTGGTTGAATGATGCTGAATAAGACCAAACTTTTGTATTTTTCTTTCATTCCACGATCGTGAACCTGTCATAAACTGATTAGCATATTGCTGTTGGGGTTTGGTTTGGACTTAATTGAAGACAAAAAGGGAAATCTAATTGCCAGACTTAATAAGAAAAAGAACAAAATACCACACCAATGAAAATATTGAGATGATCATGCCACAGTAATCCAGCAAAGTTAAGTCAGGTCCTCTGGACAGTTTCATTTTGTTGGAATGTTTCGTCTTTCAACCAGAAGTCTTCATCTGTCTGAGGAGCCGAAACAAAAGATAAGACTGATTTTATTTATTATTTTTTTCTTTTTTTTTGGCTCCTCGGCCTGATGAAGACTTCTGGTTGAAAGATGAAACGAAACATTTTAACGAAAAAAAAAAAAACGCCCAGAGGACCTGACAACTTTGCTGGATTGTTGTACCTGGATTATTGAGCATGAATCAGTCTGCCACAGTAATGTAACATATTTGTTTGTGTATAGTTTGTAAACTGATTATCTTTTTTTTTAATCGAGTGAATAAATTGATTGATTGATTGATTGATTGATTGATTGATTGATTGGTTGATTGATTGATTGATTGATATAATGCTTAGACTGTAGTATGGTGTAACTTCACAACTCTTCTATCTATTACATATGAATTACACATGTTGAAAACAAATCATAAATATTTATTACATATTGTATGTCACAAGACTAAAATTTTACTTGTAACTTATGCTCAATATCGTATTTTATTTTTTGTGTTAAAATGCATAAGTTAAACGTATGCCAGAATGTGTGACAAATTACAAAACAGCATGATATTACCATCCCACTCCTGATAAGATCATGAGCAAGGCCCTTAACCCCCATCTGTTCCCTAAACAGGTCTCTCTTGAAAATGAGTTCACGTGGCTCAATGAGACTACCTGGATAAATAAAGGCTAAATGAAAAGATTTAAAAAAATATTTGGCTGCTAACCTAACTTTTGCTACACATTATTTAAAACAGTAAAGTCTCAATTAACTGTAATCTGCTTTCTGTATGCACAATACAAATTGTAACAGAACTGTTTTTTCCTCACTCTGGGAGTGAGCTGTTTGTGGGATTCAGTTTGGCTTGGTGGCTCCTCAGACTGAAGAAGTCCTTCGGATGAAGGATGAAACATCTCAGCAACAAAATAAACCGTCCAGATGACCTGACTGAACATTGTTGGATTTATACCTGGATTAATGAGCATGAACTTTGGTGTATGCACTATTGTTTCAATGGTTGATAGTGTAAACTTGTACAACACATGAGCACTGAAGACCTAAACTAATGAGTTTCTTGTTCGCCAGTTTGCTTTACAACATTTAGACATAAATTGCTCAAACAAGTAACGTGCTTTACCCTATGTATTTTTTTCTTATTGTAGGTATAAGTATTACCAACACCATGTTGCATATTTTTTAAACTGATCTTGTTTGCAGAAATTAGGTAAAGGTTATGGATGTTTAATAGTAACTAGCGTTGCACAAATGTGTGTGAGTTAGAGAGTTGCTTATGTGTCTGCAGAAGCACAGAGCCTGCAGACATGATACACTCCAAGGCTGTAAGCTGGAAAGTAAAGGGCATCTTGGCCTCATCTCTGTCTGAAAAGCATTATAAAAATGCACTTCTTTATACTGTCCGTGGGCAGATTCTCACAACCAGAGCTTCAGTGTAACATTCGTGTTAGCCTGTTCTGACTCTTCCCCCTTGCAAGTTAAAAAAAAATGGGTTGAAAGATCTTCTCGTATCCTCGGTGTGGCTTATTTGACTAATGAGATGATGAAAAGGTAATTCATTTATCCAACATTTTTGGTCCTTCGAAAGCCGACCCCTTCATCTGGACTCGGATCCACCAGGTTTGATCTGAACCATGCATGGGTGGAAATCAGGTCTCCTTGTTGAAAGACCTCCAGTTTGAATTGCTGCATTTTGGAGGCCAGCTTGCTGGTGGTTCAGAGCACAGTGACGGGGAATGGACGAAGGAAGCTGTGCACGGAGGAGGGGAGAAGATTTTGTTTGTCTATGTTACTGCAGTGTACAGCTGGGGGTTATCAGACAAAAATAAAGTTCACGGAACTTTGCTGCAGAACGGAAGAAAAACAAATAATAAAAAATAAATAAATTACAATTACAATAAAAATAAAGAAACGTAAGAGTTTGCAGAACTCCACTGATTTTTGTCTTAGACATGCAGTGTAAATGAGAAGGTTCGGGGAACCTGGCAGCCGGGGGTTGTCCTTAGCAAAAGGGAGTTTGTGGAACGCTGCTGCATTTTGTCAGGGACTGTACAGAGTTTGTACCGCAGTTACAGTTGGGGACTTTTTTTTTTTACTGCTGACTATTAGGAAAAAAATAAAAAGTAAATAAAATAAACCCAGATGATTTTAGAAAAAAGGGAAATAGATGGAAGATGAGCATGAAGTTAGATTAAACGGTTGCTTTCTGTGAGATGAGCGGAGCAGAGATAAGAATGGCAGCTTGTGTGTGTGTCTGTGTGAAAATGGCGCCAGTGTGTGTGAGAATGGGAGCTGTTTAGTCTATCCAAGACAAGTGCTGCAGGCCAGATGAGAAAGGAAAAATAAAGGCAAGCAAAAGATGACAAAAAATCTGTACAGGCATTAAATAATATTAAGATAATAAAGTAAATAATAATCTAGATAACAACATGTGTGTGCCTCCTTTAAAAGCAACGTCCAAGGTCTCACCTGTCCTCTGGCCATTTTTTAAAATGTCCTTAAAAATATAAAACAACTTAAGAAACAACATAAACACACGTTTTCTGTATAGCCAGGAGGAGTCAGGCTCATGCATTGATTTTAATAACTTCAGTGTTTTATAAAAGTAAAGGCAAAATAATGCAAGTATTGATTTAAGATTAGGCATCGGACGATACTTAATACATGACTCTAATTGGTATCAAGGAGAAAAAATATTGGGAACTTAGTAGTAAGTTGTTCTACGACCAGTTGAACTTCAATTTGTGCAATAACTCATTTCTACATTTCCTCAAGTCCTGCATGATCATGAATGTTTTTTAAACTATTATCATTAAAACTTTAGTGCTAAAGCTGTGTTTCTGCCCCCACTCCTGTGGCTCAGTGATTTATAAAGCTAGCTTACAAATGTCTTTCAAACCAAATGCACCTTTTTTTTAAGTTGACATAAATTATTGTGCCTTTTCTAATCGTTATCTAAAACAAAATATAGCAGTTAAATAACAGTTCACCTCCAGAGAAGGGCATGATGAAGAAGACGGTTTATGTTATTGTACATGTTTCTTTCATCAAGTGACTCCTCTGTGTTTCAGCTCTGCAGCACCACTTGATACAAACAGGGTGAACAAAAATCTGTTCCAGTTTAAGTAAACTTATTTTGAAGGCAGGATTAAATCTTAGTATGACCTGTGCTCGTATGGCTTTGTCTTAGTATGGCTGGAGGGTCCAGCTACCCACTGATGAGCTGAAAAAGGAACAGGAAACACATGCATATAACACACACACACAGACACACACACTTCCTTACATACACAAACAAACACATTTGATTAAATGCACTCTCTTGCATGCTCAAACGCCCACTCTTTCACTCTCACACACATTGCCATACAGCAGACTTTTTAATATTTGTTTCTTTAGCTTTTGTTGTGCTAAATACTTTTCATTCAAGCATGCCAGGCCGCACAATGCAGGATCTAAGTTTTCTTTCTGATGGCAAATGGAAATGGGATTACCATGTAATATCTGAAAAGAGGTACATGTACTAGATTTTTTTGTTTGTTTGTTTTTTGTTGTTTTTACAAATCTCAAAGGTGTGACAAATTTTTGTTTGGCTCAAAAATTTCTATACATAGAAGTGAAATGCGCAAATCCATAGAGGGATCATGCTAAACCGAAGGTTTCCAGCTTAACAAAATGGCCCGCAATGCTCATAAATAAAGATATAGTTGGTCTGAATGAATGCCCTTTGGTTATTTTTGGTGAGTTAAATGAACGTTCAGTTCTTAGGTTTTAACAAAAACAGGGTCTGTCGAAGAGACAGTTGATCTTGGCCATAGGTTTGGACCAAGTTAAGTCAGGCCTGTCGATGGGTTTAGGCAAACATTCGGGCCCACCATGTCTCTACGGTGAGACCCAAGAGCTTCAGGGAGAGAAAAGGGCATCAATGACTGTCACCTAGTATGTCAGCAGCATGGGTCATCCAGGAATGTTACTCTCAAGTCAAGTTGTGGCCATTCAATGGTACCTACTGCAAGGGCATATGCTGGTCTTTGTCAAGAGATACAGAAAGCTTAATCTTATATGGAACAAGGAGCATGTTTGCACAAACAGGAACTGGTGTATGAATTTTATACCTGAGTCAATCTCTCAAAGAATTGTTAGTATGTTATCAGTATTTTGGTTGATGGTCTTGGATCAATGCTTGTCATGGTGGAAATACACTTTAAGCTCTCGGTTCTGTAAAACTTTAGCTACTGTTTGACAAACACCCAGCTTACCCCTTGCACATGCATGTTAGTGATTTCTAGTGAGCTGCTCAGTGCACTCCACATTCAAAGGCTCAACCATAGGATGAGTTTCATGTTCATTTCAAACCATAGACATTTTAACAGACTTTTTTTTTTTTTTTGGGTGGGGGGGGTTGTTTTTCACACAAAACAATAGCAATTTCTGTATATTCAAGACATAGCAGTTGGTGCGGCATATCAGTTTAGTGGTTTTTTGCGAAGCAGCTTAATTGCTCCCACTGAGTCCTCAAGCACCTGCAGCACCTAAGCTTGCAAAAATAATAATGAAAAAAAAAAAATAGCCATAACACTCATTGTCATCATCATCATCACTGCAATCCAACCCTTCCCAGCCCACCCCATTCCCATGGCTGCTCCCCTGACCAGCCCTGGTCTGCACTTACACAGAACGGCTAGAGAGGGGTGCCGCGTGCTGTCAGACCTACCGTAGACAGAGAAGTCCACCACAGTCAAGATACACGGAGCACACATAAGACACAAAGCAGGAAGGAGGAGAGCAGAGACAAAGGAAGAGATTGAACTCACAGCAGACACCAAAGGAAGGTAATCACAGCAAATGCAAAAAGCTGCACTGTGAGGGGTGAGGCAAATGACAGACAAGAACTGCAACTTGTGCAGCACGACCACTAAGTTTTAAAATAATGTATTTATTTTTACCGTGCTTGTCCAATGCTAACTTAATAAAAAATATGATAACATCTTTGTGGAAATCTATCGTTTTTGAAGCAGTCATTAAATGGGACTGAATAAATAAGAGCACTGTCATTTTGCACTCGAACCCCAAAGAACAAGTGACAGAAAGAGCAACAGTAACACTCATGACGAAAACATTAAATCACAAAAATACAAAAAAAATTAATTCAAATAAACAATAAACATGGTGGAATTATAAAGTGAATAACATCTGTGGGGGGAAAAAATCATCTTTACTGGGTTAGAAATACATCAAAACAGCAAACAACAATTGTTAGCTTCTAAAAAAGCTATCACATACATAAAAAAAAATAAAGTGACTTTTTAAAGTGGGGTTCTCTGGAAAGATTAATATTCATACTCAGTTTAAAGAAACAGGCTAGTTTTGACTACATACAGATGCTAGCAGCTTGTAAAAAGGGCAGATTGCTGCCATCTTAAAACAACTCCAGTCTCACAGATTTCACAGCTGTTGCTGCAAATACTATTTTATAAAGCTTTATGTCACCTCTAGATTGCATTGCACTGTTCATTACACAGAGTTCTGTGGTCATTTGTGCTGATCGTGTGAGTAGCTGTAGCTGTCAGAGCAGCCTGGGACACTTCCAGCAGGAAACCTGTGATTGTTAGACTAACAGTGACATGGGAGCCTGACAGCAGTGTACAGGCTTGTTCTGTGGTGTTTCTTACTTTCTGAAATGTTTTTTTTTAATTGGAGTTGTTTTAAGATTAAGATAAATTAGCTAAGTGAAATGTATGATGCGGGCATGGTGGCTTAGTTGGTAGAGCTGTTGCCTCTCAGCAAGGTCACCCTGGTTCAAATCCCGGCCGGAGGCTTTTCTAGGTGGAGTTTGCATGTTCTCTCCGTGCATGTGAGGGTTTTCTTCGGGTACTCTGGTTTCCTCCCACAGACCAAAAACACGCATTTTAGGCTAATTGGTAACTCTTGTCCCTAGATGTGAGTGAGAGAGTGAATGATTGTTTGTCTTGTTTGTCTCATGTGTCCCTGTGATGGACTGGAGATCTGTCCAGAGTGTCCCCTGCCTCTCACACTGGGACTGCTGGATACTGGCATCAGTGACCCCTGTGACCCAAAAAGGAAGACGCGAGAAAGGATAATGGATGAATGAAATGTATGACTCCTAGTTTAGCCCATCTTCACATAAAACTTGAGAACATTAACTAACAGGTTAAAGAATAGGTCGTAGTTCAAAGTGCTTTGCTTATATGCACTGCAGGTTTTCACAGCGTCGACACGACCTCGCACAGTAAAACGTACCTCTCCTCCTTTCAAGTTCTTCATTCCCATGTCACCTTTGCCCTTCTTTCCCTTCTTGTTCTTCTTTTTCTTGCAGCAGCATTTCTTGATTATGCAGAAGCAACACGTTAGAATCAGTAAAGCTGCGACCACGGCAATGGCAATGATGGCCCAGGATGGCACTGAGGAGAGGAGACAAACCAGGACAAAGATGGCTCATATACTCTCAGGAGAAGTAGGAAGCAAATACTTGAATGTCAAACCAAACCATCATTTAGTCTGCTTCATGCTGTGCCCTATGCCACATGTATTTAGTGAGAGGTGGCAGGTTAGCCATTAGGCTAGATGATAATTAGATTTTCCCACCATTAGAAAGAGCATCCAGTGATCAATACTAAATAAAGACGTTATAGGGCTGACAATGCCTGCAGCAAAAAAGAAAATCTAATTCCCAAATAATTCTTCAGAGTCACGTCAATAAGAGACGGTGGATCGAAACAGTTTTTGTTTTTTTCCTGGCACTCACATGGGATCTTGTCGATCTCGTTCAGGAACTTGTTTTTGATTTCGTCGAAGGCATCGTTCTTGTTGGCTGGTTCAGTGGTGTTCTCGGCAGAGACTAATGCGACGGGGGCCGGAGTGACGCTTAACTCGCTGGCACCCGTCGGCTTCGCAGCAACCATGGGCGTCGTCTGGTGTTTGAACAAGTTAAACTTCATCACTTGGACAGTTGGCACAATTTCTAAAAAAAAAGAACACATAAATTAGAAAAGTCCTGACCAATCAAAGACATACTTGTGTACCAAAACTCTGCACATTTTAAGGACAGTACAGCTCTAAAGAAAGTGTAAATGTGCAAATGAAAGGGTTTTATTTCCAAGACATTTTAGATAATCTATGCTGGTTTAGTAAGGTTTTACATGTTTGTCATATCAGTCATAGTTTGTTAGAAGAAAATAAATGAACAAGATTTGGTATAACATGTCGACTACAACAAACAGGAAATAAGTATCTTATCTATTCACAAAATGAATCTTTTTCCACTTCCTGAGGTGAGTTAAACTCTCATCTACCAGCTTTTGCTTCTGCCGCTACTCCAGCTCTGCCTTGCTCAGTTTACCCCCAATCTGAAAACGATCAGTAGAAACCCCTCTTCACCTTGATAGCACTTTCACCCTAGTCGTCGGCCACTGATTTGAGGGGTTGATTGCCACAGCAACAAGCAGCCACAAACTTACAAAGGCAGTTTTGTTCAGCTGCTTCAGTACTATGGGTAGACAACAGTGTCCATTTGGAAATATTGTGGCTTTCCTCACTTAAAATGACAAATAACCTTTATAACAAATGCATCTGAACACTTTGGCAAACCCACATAAAATATCTAGGAGCACAACGCAAGTCCAGCATCCTCCTCTGCTGTCGGACGTAACTCAACACCAGGTGATCAGATTAAAAGCTCAGCTTCTCTCCACCTGACAGTCTACAATATGTGTTGCTACGATTGCAGAATCAATAAACAGGAGGGTCCTGTTACCAAGCACACTTAAAGAGATTCTGTTATTGGAAGTGACAGAATACTTAAGAGTAGTCAGTATTTTACCTGCAGTAGGCAGAAGTCAGTCTGAGCCATCTGTGGTTGAAAAGGATCTCATGAGGAAGTCAAACTAATACAGTAGCTACATATACGTAGATGCTATTTATGAAAAAAAGAATTCCACCATCTACAACTCAAATTTTACAACCTTCTGCTGTTGGAACAAATGCTTTTTAAAGGGCTACTTGAGTCACTTTTCAAGTTATGCTCTTTCAGATGATAATGATAATTAGTACCTTAAGAGCCATGAGAGCCATTTAGCTCTGAGTCTAGATCAAAGGATAGAAGTCTTTGTAGAGGCTAGGCTAAAGGCTAGCCAAGGGGGGCTAATTTTTATAGTTTTGCAGGCAAGTCTATAAAAACTCATCAGGAAACAACATGCCGATGTGAACAAACTCTACAGTACCTCATATTAAATCTCTCCACCTTTGCATGACACCATTTGTTAAGTTTGTCACTGTTTTTGCAACCCAGCAATGCTTGTGTTATCCATCCATCCATTATCTTTATCCGCTTCTTCCTTTTTGGGTCATGGGAGTCACTGGTGCCCATATCCAGCAGTCACTGTGTGAGAGGCGAAGGACACCCTGGACGGGTTGCAAGTCCATCACAGGGACACATAGAGACAAACAGTAATTTGCTCTCTCACTCACACCTAGAGACAATTTAGAGTTACCGATCAGTCTAACATGCATGTTTTTGGTCTGTGGAGGAAACTGGAGTACCCGGAGAAAACCCACACATGCACGGGGAGAACATGCAAACTCCACCCAGAAAGAACCCCGGCTGGGATTTGATCTGGCAACGTTCCCACTGAGAAGCAACAGATCTACCAATTGTGCATGTTTGTGTGCTGAGCATCGACTGTGTGTACATGCTGATGGTGCTGAGGCTGCAAACATATCAGCACCAGTCCAAACATTTACTCAACCACCGGCGTACTGATACATTTAACAGTGTCCGGACACAAACATTTACATGATCTATAAAATACCTAATGCTGCATTTACAACTCAAAGGGTATAGGGAATTTTTTTAATTAAATTTCTTAGGAGACAGTATTTGCTCTTGAATAGTGTGCTCTGAGCACCGATTAGGTTGATTTCCCCCATGAGAACTTTTTGCTAAATCTTCAACCTGAGATCTCTCTGACCACTGTAGGATACTGACTGCTCATAACTACTCAACAATACCATACCACTTTATTTATAAAGCACTTTATTTTCCATATACAGGCTAGTCTCACTGAGCCACAAGGACTCATTTACAAGAGAGACCTGTAAAAAAAAAAAAAAAATGTAAACAGCAAACTCAAAAACTGCAACAGCCAACCAAAGTGCTGGACAACAATAGGAATGAGAAGTGATTTTTTTCAATATGCAAAAAAAAATCATTTAAAAGTGAAAATTATAATATTTAATGTGACTATTGTTTTAATTAACAGAGAGTCCTTATATTAGCACCTGGTAGTAACACAATGCCAACAGTACGGTAGCTGCAATGCACCAAGTTGATTCCTAAACATCACAGTGTTTTTCCAGATGAGGTGTTACTTTTATGGCATGAGAAATCGATATTTAGATCAGCGTTGCTTTGTCTCACATTATATTTGTTCTGCTCAGCCCAACCAAGTGGTTTGGCCGTTGTGCTGACATTTGTGCTGTAAAGGATGAAAACGACACTGAGAAATGCCTGAATACCTGTTACTTGGAGAGTGGATATGTATTGTGAGTAGGATCGACTAAGGACAAAATATTCAAAAGATAATGAATATTGACAAACTCAAAGAATAGTTGCTCTTGAGTTGCCCACCTCAACACATATGTAGTTCTTCTTTTTAACAAATCTCTTTACTGAACCCTTTCTATGTCCAGATAAGAAAATAAATGTTCAACAAACTAAATTCCCAGATTTGGAGTGTTGCCAGAAGAGCTAAAAACACTCGTTTGACATACCAGCAAATGTTTGTTCAGAACTCAGCCAAATAAAAACTGAAAAAAGGTAAACGGGTTATTTATCTCCTACTACCTAAGGGGACAAAAATGGTTTTGCTAGCAGTTTGACAAAACATCTCATGAACCACTGGACATATTTTAATGAAAGTTTCAGGAAATAATCGCTGAATGTACATCTAAAATTGATTTATGTTTTAGACTCAACATAATTCAAAATGGCACCCACATCTAATTACATATATCCAAAACAAAAATGCCTACATTTTACTAAAAGTTACATATATTAAAAAGTTACATAAGTTACATAAATTGAACGGAAGTTTGATCTTATAGTAACTCAGAGCCATCCTTAAAATGTTCCTTTAGTGCTAACAGATCTCACACGATCTTGTGACACTGTGTGACTGTGGGCATGATATAATTCACAAGTTTGGGCCAAAATGGTTAGAACTCCATCACTTTTTAACCTTAAAATTATCTTTATTTAAACATTTGACTTAAAAGGCAGTCTTTTTGGGGGGACTGTCAGGTAAACCTGTTCTCACTGATTTACCTGAAATAACATTTTAACCCTGCAAGAGTGGATGTTGCATGCACTTTAAACAGCATTGGAAATTTAATCAGGGTCTTTGTCCTAACAAAGCCATAAAAGCTGTCAAAATACGCCATTTTCCAATCGTTTTATCTGATTTCTGTGTGTACTGTATGTGGGAGAGGGGGTATAATCTATTATAAATATAATCTTTAAATATGCATCATTCACCAGTGTGCTGCATCATTTGTAATAAAAGAGCAACGTCAGCAGCATCACGCTGTGTTGCCAATAATAAAATTGATTGTTTGCATTCGAATATTGAACACACTTTGGACAGTCTTGGTACACAATACAATCCATCATCAAGTCAATGAAATAATTCCTGCATGGGCGCAGAATTTGAGAGAGAACAATGGAATTAGATGGCAGGTCGAAAGCACAAAGGTAAAGTACTCCCTTCTTCTGAAAAGGAACGTCTGTTAAACGCTGAAAGAGTCAACAGAAGGAGTCACTCTCTGGGTGGAAATCAAGTGGTGGGCAATGTTAAAGCAAAAGTTAGGGACAAGATCATTTGCAAATGAGCTGGACTCAAATATTCTGAACTAATGATTACCGAGTTGTGAACAAAGGTGAGGTTTTCAAATGCAACTTGTTCAAAAAGCTCTGATGAGTTTAAATTATATTAACCCTCAAACAATGAGTTAATTATGAAGCAATTGTGTTAAAAGCATTGACAAGTAATTAAAAAAATAAATATTATGAAACTGTAGCAGCACAGTGGCGCAACTGGTACAGCTGCTGCCTCTCAGCGAGCAGGTCCCTGGTTCAAATCCCGGTCCGTGGGCCTTTCTGGGTGGAGTTTGCATGTTCTCTCTGTGCATGCGTGGGTTTTCTCCGGGTGCTCCGGTTTCCTCCCACAGACCAAAAACATGCATGATAGGCTGATTGGTAACTCTAAATTGTCTCTAGATGTGAGTGAGAGAATGAATGGTTGTTTGTCTCGTTTGTTTCTATGTGTCCCTGTGATAGACTTGCGACCTGTCCAGGGTGTACCCCGCCCCTCGCACAGTGATTGCTGGACTCGGGCACCGGCGACCCCCATGACCCAAAATGGAAGACGCGGGTAAAAGATAATGGATGGGATGGATGGATGAAACTGTATAATATAGCTTTGGATAACCATGAGGGGATGTTAAACTGGATTTATTATCCACGATAAAGTAGGAAACTACTCTCTCTGACATAGCAAAGAAATTTTCTTTTTTGCATGAAAATTTTATACTCCAAGAGAAACCTCAGTGCCAATCTCCCAGAGGCCACTACCCCCGCAGTGCGTCATTGTGGGACGCCGAGAGAAACACAGCAACCACATGGCATGGAAATCCATTTGGTTTGTGATGTTGCAACACTACGTCAAATATGGAAGTTTCTGAGTTATTGAAGGAAAAACATCTTATTTCAGGATGCTGACCATCATTTTGATGACTAACGAGAGACAACTAATGAGAGATTAGCAAATATTGGTTCCAAGAAGCTAATGTTAGCTCTCAGCAGCTGATGCTCTCAGAGTAACTACAGCCACACTGAGCCCTGAGCAACTCACAGAACAGCATGGATGCATTAACCCCCTCCTCCTCACATTACAGACCAATCACATA